GAATGGAGGGAGAAGGGAGATAGGAAGGGGAAGAGTGGAAAGGAAGGAAAATGAAGGGAGAGAGAATGGGACAAGGTGGGGGATTGAGAGGGCGTAGGGGGGGGGGGTGGGGGATGCGGTGGAGAGAGAGAATGAAAGAGGAAGGAAGGGAGGGAGGAAGAGGTAAAAAGAAGGGAGAAAGGAATGGGGGGGGGAGGGAATTAAATGGGAAAGAAGGGGAGGAAGGGATGTGGGGGAAAGAGGAAGGGGGAAATAAAGGGAGTGGGGGAGAGAGAGGAGGGGTGGGAATTGAGGGGGGGTAAAGGAGTAGGTGGGACATGAAAGAGAGGGCAGAGGAAGGAAGGGGTAGTGAGGAAAGAAAGTGAAAAGAAAAAGGGGGGGTAAGAATACGGGCTAGAGAAGGAGAAGTGGAGGGAGGAGAGGTGAGAGGGGAAGAGGTAAGGAGTGTATGTGTGTGTGTGGGGGGGGGGGGGGGGTGGATAGTGAGAAGCAAAGGGGAGCAAGGAAGCAGTGTGAGAGAGGAGAGTGGAAGAGGCAAAAGTGAGATGGGTGGGGGCAGGAAGGGAAATAGAGACAGAATATAGATGAGGGGGGGGGGGGGGGGGAGAGAAGAGGAAACTGGAAAGGAAGAAAATAAAAGAGGACGAGATGGTGAGATTTTCCCGCTCTGTCACTGCACACGTTTTATCATTATATATTTGTATCGGCTACAATGTATCACTTCTGCTGTATTGTTTCTCTGGTACAACAGACGGATGGAATGTACAATATATATGTACAGCGCGGCGTACGTTGATGGCGATATAGAAGTACCTGAAAATAAATAAAATACATAACAATATAAGAGAACAGATTTCCTGTGTAGGGGGGGGGGCCCCGTGTTCTATCCCAGAAGAAGATATTCACATTGCTGAGATGCTGGGTGTCACCTCTGCAGTGATCTGGTGGTGTCGGTGGGGGTCCGAGGAACACTGAGGGGCCCAAACATGACAGATTGATTGTGTCTCCCATGTTGAAGGTTACCATCGCTGTGTTTATTCTTCTGGACATAATCAATGTATTGCTGCCTGTGCTGCGCCTGTCGCCTGTGCTGTGTGCGCTGTGCTGCGCCTGTGCTGTCCTGTGCTGTGCTGTGCCCTTGTGCTGTGACTGCGCCTGTGCTGTGCCTGTGCTGTGGCCTGTGCCGTGCCTGTGCTGTGCCTGCTGTGCTTGCGCGCCTGTGCTGTTGCCTGTGCTGCTGAGTGCTTGTGCCTGTGTGTGGTGCCCTGTGCCTGTGTGGCTGTGCCTGTGCTGGGCCTGTGCTGCGCCTGCTGCTGTTGCCTGTGAGTGTGCTGTGCCTGTGGTGCCTGTGCTGTGCCTGTTGTTGTGCTGTGCCTGTGTTGTGCTGTGCCTGTGCTGTGCCTGTGCTGTGCTGTGCTGCGCCTGTGGTTGCTGTGCTATGCTGCGCCCCAGGTGTGCTGTGCTGCCGCTGTGCTGTGCCTGTCGCTGTGCTGTGCCGCCTGTGCTGCGCCTGTGCTGTGCCTGTGCTGTGCCTGTGCTGCGCCTGTATTGTGCTGTGCCTGTGCTGCGCCTGTGCTGTGCCCGTGTGCCTGTGCTGTGCCGTGCCTGTGCTGTGCCTGTGCTGTGCCTGTGCTGCGCCTGTGCTGTGCCTGTGCTGTGCGCTGTGTCCTCACTCTCTGTGTCCTCACTCTCTGTGTCCTCACTCTCTCTCTCTGTTTTCCGGATGATCATGGTGACGGGGGACGGCGAAAATCCAACACTGTTAGTTGTCACCAAAATAGTAAAAGAGGAGAATCCTAAAATGGGGACACCTGATCTGCTGACAACTGTTTAAGAAGAGAGTTCTCTTACTTCCTGTTGTACCTACAGGGCAGGAAATGGAAGAATATCTCCACAGACAGCAAAAAAAATGCCTAACAGGGACTTGGGAACTCGGCACAGGGAGGGTGGGAACCCCTCATAATGGGCACAGCGGGTGTGCAGACCCGGGAACTCAGCACAGGGATGGTGGGAACCTCCTCATAATGGGCACAGCGGGTGTGCAGACCCGGGAACTCAGCACAGGGATGGTGGGAACCCCTCATAATGGGCACGGCGGGTGTACAGACCGGGAACTGAGCACAGGGATGGTGGGAACCCTCCATAGTCCACCAAACACTGACATATCAGATGTACGTAGATGGTAGGCTGTACACATCACAGGGATGGTGCGATATGTCGTGTTCCCTGCAGCTTTATCGCACACATCAAAAACACACGCAGAACATCCTGTGAACTGTATAATCTCTGAACTCAGAATCAATTTTTTTTTTTGTAACTAAATACATTTCCTGATTAGAGATGATTAGCAGAGGTGAGGGATGGGGAGGGGGAGGCGGCTGCAGTGTGAGCCTGTGCTGCCACCTAGTGGTGGGTGCTGGAACAGAACTGTCAGCAAGGCTCAGCAGACGTTTTCCATTCTGCTGGTGATTTGCTGCATTTCACAGATCCCCCCTCCATCGGGGGCACCTGACACCTGACTCCTGACACCGACTCCTGACACCGACACCTGACTCCCCATGCACAACCCTCTCCTCCTGCAGCAATCCGATTTATCAAAGGAGACTGGCTGAAAGCAAAGCAGTATTTTCTCTCTCTGAAGTCTGATGTTTCCTCCACTTTCACCTTAACTTGTATGAATGAGCCAAAAGGTTCCGCAGAATTATTGAACAACCTTTTCTTCCCCCAAAAGACTCTGGTGTAATGGGACACTCTGATTGGGAACCTGATGAAAGGGGGGACTCTAATGGGAACCTTATGTAAAGGGGGACTCTAATGGGGAACCTGATGTAAGGGGGGACTCTATTGGGGGAACCAAATGTAAGGGGGGACTCTGATGAGGAACCTGATGTAAGAGGGACACTGATGGGAAACCTGATGTAAGGGAGGACTCTAATGGCAAACCAAACATATGGGGGGGGGGGGGTCCCTGATGGGGAACTGATTGGTAAAGGGGGGCTCTGATGGGAAACCTGATATAAGGGGGGACTCTGATGTAAAATCTAATGGAAGGGGGACTCTGATAGAGAACCTGATTTAAGAGAGTACTTTATGAGGGCATGCTGATGGGGACTCTAATTTAAGAAGAGTGCTGATGAGGAACCTAATGTAAGGGGGGACTCTGATGAGGAACTTGATTTAAGGGGGGGACTCTGATGGGGACCTTGATGTAAGGGGGGGGGGGGTCTCTGATCGGGCCCTCTAGGAGTTCTTTTTCAGCCTGCACATATTTGTAAAATATGGGATGTGAGGAGGAGGCATTTTCTCAGTCCTCCCCTCCCCAGTGATCAGACTGTACATTGTAAACTTTGTAGAAGGAGGAGGAGGCATTTCCTCAGTCTCCCCTCTTCCCCATGATCAGACTGTACATTGTAACTTTGTAGAAGGAGGAGGAGGCAGCATTTCCTCAGTCTCCTCCCCCAGTGATCAACTGTACATTGTAACTTTGAAGAAGGAGGAGGAGGCATTTTCTCAGTCTCCCCTCCCCCAGTGATCAGACTGTACATTGTAACTTTGTAGAAGGAGGAGGAGGCATTTCCTCAGTCCTCCCCTCCCCCAGTGATCAGACTGTACATTGTAACGTTGTAGAAGGAGGAGGAGGCAATTTCCTCAGTCTCCCCTCCCCCAGTGATCAGACTGTACATTGTAACGTTTGTAGAAGGAGGAGGAGGCATTTTCCTCAGTCTCCCCTCCCCCAGTGATCAGACTGTACATTGTAACTTTGTAGAAGGAGGAAGAGGCATTCCCTCAGTCTCCCCTCCCCCAGTGATCAGAAGAAGGACTGTACATTGTAACTTTGTAGAAGGAGGAGGAGTCATTTCCTCAGTCTCCCCTCCCCCAGTGATCAGACTGTACATTGTAACTTTGTAGAAGGAGGAGGAGGCATTTCCTCAGTCTCCCCTCCCCCAGTGATCAGACTGTACATTGTAACGTTGTAGAAGGAGGAGGAGGCATTTCCTCAGTCTCCCCTCCCCCAGTGATCAGACTGTAAACTTACTTTTTTTTTTTTTTTCTTTCCTCTTCCCGGCCTTTGCTGGAACACACTTCGGCATCAATCAGTCCTCACCTAGGTAATCTTCTGGGGTCTCATCACATGCCAGGAGAGTCATCAGGACGTGGCAGCCGGCTTCTGAAACCAAGATGGCCGCATGGAGGAACAGAGACCACGAGACGCATTGGCTGTGTGGGGACAGCTTTTCCCAGAAGTCCTGAAATCAGTCTGTAGGAAGGTGCAGTTAGCCACTTTGCCACTAGGTGGCTCTGTACCAGAACGGTGTCTGGAACAGAATGTAGTGACACCAGGTGTTAGGCCCCTTGTGGGTGGAGCCCTCCCACAAGTAGTGACACCCATACATATGTTAGGTGGGGAGGGGACACAGCAGACTTGAGGCAAGGAAGCCACACCCCATATCTGTGAGATTGTAATCTACACATGTAGGCCCTGGACAGGGCGGGAGGCCGGGTGGGGGGGAACTGTATGCAGGAGGAGTTGTCTGTGGACATCCTGTTTTCTTTGGGGGGTGGGGGTTGGGCCTTTTGGGGCCATTCTGGGGATCCCTGTGTGCACTGAAATCAGAGAAAACCATTTCAATCCAGGAGAGGAGCACTTGTGTCCCGGCTCCCCCCCTTCAGTCTTGCAAAGGTGTACCAGCTCCTCCCCTTCAGTCTTGCACAGGTGTACTGGCTCCTCCCCTTTAGTCTTGCACAGGTGTACCAGCTCCCCCCCTTCAGTCTTGTACAGGTGTACCGGCTCCTCCCCTTCAGTCTTGCACAGGTTTTCTAGCTCCTCCCCTTCAGTCTTTCACAGGTGTACCAGCTCTTCCCATTCAGTCCTTGCACAGGTGTATCGGCTCCTCCCCTTCAGTCTTGCACAGGTGTACTGGCTCCTCCCCTTCAGTCTTGCACAGGTGTAACGGCTCCTCCCCTTCAGTCTTGCACAGGTGTACCAGCTCCTCCCCTTCAGTCTTGCACAGGTGTATCAGCTCCTCTCCTTCAGTCTTGCACAGGTGTACCAGCTCCTCCCCCTTCAGTCTTGCACAGGTGTATCGGCTCCTCCCCTTCAGTCTTGCACAGGTGTATCGGCTCCTCTCCTTCAGTCTTGCACAGGTGTATCAGCTCCTCTCCTTCAGTCTTGCACAGGTGTACCAGCTCCTCCCCTTCAGTCTTGCACAGGTTTTCTGGCTCCTCCCCTTCAGTCTTGCACAAGTGTATCGGCTCCTCTCCTTCAGTCTTAAACAGGTGTATCGGCTCCTCCCCTTCAGTCCTGCACAGGTGTACCAGCTCCTCCCCTTCAGTCTTGCACAGGTGTGCCGGCTCCTCCCCTTCAGTCTTGCACAGGTGTATCGGCTCCTCTCCTTCAGTCTTATACAGGTGTACCAGCTCCTCCCCTTCAGTCCTGCTCAGGTGAACCAGCTCCTCCCCTTCAGTCTTATCCAGGTGTGTCGGCTCCTCCCCTTCAGTCTTGCACAGGTTTTTCTGGCTCCTCCACTTCAGTCTTGCACAGGTGTACCAGCTCCTCCCCCTTCAGTCTTGCACAGGTGTACCGTCTCCTCCCCTTCAGTCTTGCACAGGTGTACCAGCTCCTCCCCTTCAGTCTTGCACAGGTGTACCAGCTCCTCCCCTTCAATCTTGCACAGGTATACCCAGCTCCTCCCCTTCAGTTTTGCACAGGTGTACCGCCTCCTCCCCTTCAGTTTTGCACAGGTTTGTACCGGCTCCTCCCCTTCAGTCTTGCACAGGTATACCAGCTCCTCCCCTTCAGTTTTGCACAGGTGTAGCGGCTCCTCCCCTTCAGTCTTGTACAGGTGTACCGGCTCCTCCCCTTCAGTCTTGCATAGGTTTTCTGGCTCCTCCCCTTCAGTCTCGCACAGGTGTACCGGCTCCTCCCCTTTAGTCTTGCACAGGTGTACCTGCTCCTCATTATTTTTATTTTTTTTAGCAATTTTTTTATTTTGTGTAAGGGTGTATATTTTTTATTTTAAGGTTAGGAGTTATTTATGTATTATTACATAGTATTCATTACTTGTATTTATTTATTATTTATTTATGATTATTTGTATTTATTTGTGTATTTATTTTACATTTATTTATTCATTTATTATAAGTATTTAATAACACCCTAATCCTAACAAAAAAAAAAAACACACAAATAAGAAAATGGCAAATAAAATATTGACCCCTGAACCCTAATCCAGACATAAATCTAACAAAAAAAAAAAATAGTAATAATAATGAGAATAATAATAATGTTTTGTTCAGGTTTGGGTTTTTATTTATTATTATTTTATTATTATTATTATTATTTTTATTAATTAAAAGCTAAAAAAAAAAAATACTGAAAAACAAATGTTTGCAACAGATACTATTTTTCGCCTGAAATCACTGTATAATTGCACAAAAATCCCACAAAACGTTCAAATTTCCTGCGCCCAAGTGTGACTGCAGCCCTGAGTTGACACACGTTGGAATTTGTAGCGGGGAGATGAGGACAGTTTACATCTGAACCCTCTGCCTGCGCAGCGACTCATTTGCCGCACGTGGAATTTGTGGCGCTACATTTAAATCAAATCTATAATCCGCTAAATATTTTGTTTTAATAAAAGTCGGTAATTAAATTTCAGCCGTCAGAAAAAAATAAACAGAGATTTCTCGGCGTGGGCGTAATTGCCGCGTTCCATACGGTGATGGATTTTATTGTACAGATTTCTCCTTTCAGCAATGACGGCAAATTAGTTGGCGCCCCCCCTCCCCCCCCCCCCCCCCCCCATCAATCCATTTTGTGTTGATTGAATTTTCTGGATCAGGCTGACCTTTGCGAAGCGACATTAAATGGCGCTCGGAGGAAAGTCACGCCGGCAGAAGAGGAAAGTCAGCGAGGGGGGGGGGGGGGGGGAGCTAAAAGGAAAGTTTGTTCCCCATTTGTATGTAGAATGTATTGTAATGGTTGTAATTCCATTTACGCTTCTGCAAATGTGCTGAGCAAATGCCAGGAGCTTCTGCCGAGTCAGCGCCTGCGAGTCCGAGGCGATCAAATGGCAGCCCGGAAACTGGTGGCATCGGCAACGTGATGGCTGGGGCACGACCGGGCGCACGAGCAACGTTAACCCTCTCATTGCGTGGTAAGCTGGGTCGGGAAGCCCCCCTTCACCCAAAAAGTCCCCAAAAACGTCCAAATGGACATTGTTCAGATATGAGATATAGAGAGATACAAAGTAACATTGTTCATAAACATCGATCAGACGGGAGATAGAGATACAAAGTAACATTGTTTATAAACATCGATCAGACGGGAGATAGAGATACAAAGTAACATTGTTTATAAACATCGATCAGACGGGAGATGGAGAGATACAAAGTAACATTGTTTATAAACATCGATCAGACGGGAGATGGAGAGATACAAAGTAACATTGTTTATAAACATCGATCAGACGGGAGATAGAGATACAAAGTAACATTGTTTATAAACATCGATCAGACGGGGGATAGAGAGATACAAAGTAACATTGTTTATAAACATCGATCAGACCGGAGATGGAGAGATACAAAGTAACATTGTTTATAAACATCGGACGGGAGATAGAGAGATACAAAGTAACATTGTTTATAAACATCGATCAGACGGGGGGATAGAGAGATACACAGTAACATTGTTTATAAACATCGATCAGACGGGAGATAGAGATACAAAGTAACATTGTTTATAAACATCGATCAGACGGGAGATAGAGATACAAAGTAACATTGTTTATAAACATCGATCAGACGGGGGATAGAGAGATACACAGTAACATTGTTTATAAACATCGATCAGACGGGGGATGGAGAGATACAAAGTAACATTGTTTATAAACATCGGACGGGAGATGGAGAGATACAAAGTAACATTGTTTATAAACATCGATCAGACGGGAGATAGAGATACAAAGTAACATTGTTTATAAAACATCGATCAGACGGGGGATAGAGAGATACAAAGTAACATTGTTTATAAACATCGGACGGGAGATGGAGAGATACAAAGTAACATTGTTTATAAACATCGATCAGAGATGTGAAACTAAACATTTTAAAAGGGCATTCAAAAAAACCATCTCAAACCCCGCATTCACTATATCCGCTCTCCCCGGACCCCGCATTCACTATATCCGCTCTCCCCGGACCCCGCATTCACTATATCCGCTCTCCCCGGACCCCGCATTCACTATATCCGCTCTCCCCGGACCCCGCATTCACTATATCCGCTCTCCCCGGACCCCGCATTCACTATATCCGCTCTCCCCGGACCCCGCATTCACTATATCCGCTCTCCCCGGACCCCGCATTCATATATCCGCTCTCCCCGGACCCCGCATTTACTATATCCGCTCTCCCCGGACCCCGCATTCATATATCCGCTCTCCCCGGACCCCGCATTCACTATATCCGTTCTCCCCGGACCTCGCGTTCACTATATCCGCTCTCCCCGGACCTCGCATTCACTATATCCGCTCTCCCCGGACCCCGCGTTCACTATATCCGCTCTCCCCGGACCTCGCATTCACTATATCCGCTCTTCCCGGACCCCGCATTCACTATATCCGCTCTCCCCGGACCCTGCATTCACTATATCCGCTCTCCCCGGACCCCGCGTTCACTATATCCGCTCTCCACGGACCCCGCGTTCACTATATCCGCTCTCCCCGGACCCGCATTCACTATATCCGCTCTCCACGGACCCCCGCGTTCACTATATCCGCTCTCCCCGGACCCCGCGTTCACTATATCCGCTCTCCACGGACCCCGCATTCACTATATCCGCTCTCCCCGGGCCCCGCGTTCACTATATCCGCTCTCCCTGGACCCCTCATTCACTATATCCGCTCTCCCTGGACCCCTCATTCACTATATCTGCTCTCCCACAGTACACAGAACATGGAAATGCAATTATTTTAGTAAATATAAACTGCTAAATACCTTTTCTCATCAACAGAAGTCTTGTGACTTCTATCAGTGTCCAGCAAAGCTTGTAGGAGTTTTCTCTAGGAGGATGCAGAACCCCTGACCTCTGTCTGGACAGTGCTGACTGTCCCTGTGCTGATCAAATGCACTCTTCCCAAGAGAAAAAAAAAAAACCTCTCTAGCAATACACACCAAACTGAGCATGTGCAGAGTGTCTCCACACATATGTGAGCAGCACAGTGGCTAAGTGGTCAGCACTTCCGCCTGGCAGTACTGGGGTCGTTGGTTCAAATCTCAACCACGGCACCACCTGCCTGTAGTTTGCATGTTCTCCCTATGCCTGCGTGGGTTTCCTCCGGGTACTCTGGTTTCCTCCCACACTCCAAAGACATGCTGGTAGGTTAATTGCCTCCTGTCTAAATTGGCCCTAGTATGTGTATGTATGAATGTGAGTTACTACTACAATTGTACTACTACAATCTATGGTCCCCTTAGATTGTACGCTCCTCGGGGGCGGGGACTGATGTGAATGTACAATATATATGTAAAGCGCGGCCTAAATTGATGGCGCTATATAAGTACCTGAAATAAATAAATAATAAATAAATGTCCAGACCAGGAGTGGACTGATCATTTGAAAACTCGGGCACTGCCCGAGGGCCCGGGGTCAGTAGGGGGCCCCATGAGATGCCCCTGGTACCTTTTTCATAGGATTTTTTGAGCTTGGGCAAGGGCACAGGGGCCCCATGATCCCCTATTGCCCGGGGGCCCATGAGTCGTCAGTCCGCCCCTGGTCCAGACACTGGAACAAGAGGGGTCATATGTCTATGTCAGACATATGACAAGAGGGGGACACTGGAAGAAGGGGAGGATCAGAGAAGACAGGATCAAACAGCCTTTTTGCACAATGCAGAGGATTAACCCCTTAGGTTCCACAGTGAGTATAACCAGCATGCTTTGCTGCATCTACAGACTGATTGTACTGTGGGGGGTTCAGGAACATTTTAAGTGGGACAAACAACAACATCTAATCTATTTTACATTTATAGTAACATTTTTATTTTTATACTAACACTGATAAAAAAAAAAAAGAAAAAAAAATTTTTTTTTGTCTACGCATAAAAAAATTAAAAAAAATCATAAATATCACCTAAAAAAAACTTTTATTGTCCCGAAAAACAAAATGATGAAGTTATTGCTGAATGAACAGGCCCATAGCAGAAATGTGAAAATTGCACTGCCCCATGGGAGAGGGGGTTACAGGGGGGAGGGGGGAAGGGGTGTTACGGGGGGGAGGGTTATGGGGGGTAGGGGGGGTTACGGGGGGAAGGGGGTGTTATGGGGGGTTACAGGGGAAGTGGGTGTTACGGTGGGAGGGTTATGGGGGCAGGGGGGGAAGGTTACTGGGTGAAGGGGGTGTTACGGGGGGGAGGGTTACGAGGGAAGGGGGTGTTATGGGGGGGAGGGTTACGGGGGAAGGGGGTGTTACGGGGGGAGGGTTATGGGGGGAGGGGGTGTTACGGTGGGAGGGTTACAGGGGGGAGGGTTACGGGGGAAGGGGGTGTTACGGGGGGAGGGTTACGGGGGAGGGGGTGTTACGGGGGGAGGGTTATGGGGGAAGGGGGTGTTACGGGGGAGGGTTACGGGGGGAGGGGGTGTTACGGGGGAGGGTTATGGGGGGAGGGTTATGGGGGGAGGGGGGAGGGTTACGGGGGAGGGGGTGTTATGGGGGGGAGGGTTGCGGGGGAAGGGGGTGTTACGGGGGAGGGTTATGGGGGGAGGGAGTGTTACGGTGGGAGGGTTACAGGGGGGAGGGTTACGGGGGAAGGGGGTGTTACGGGGGGAGGGTTACGGGGGGAGGGGGTGTTACGGGGGGAGGGTTATGGGGGGAAGGGGGGGGTGTTACGGGGGGAGGGTTACGGG